ACCTTGTCTCAAACAAACAAACCCACAAATCAACAAATAAATAAGTAAAAACTGGGGTGGGGGAAGGAGGAAGAGGAGAAGAGAAGAAAGCCAGGACTCTCTGGGGTCTCTTTAATCATTAACCACTGGAGTGTACACCCTGACTCTGTCCTCTGATCTTGCTCTCTGCCCCATGAAGTATCAGTGGCATCAGGGCAGGTACCCATTAGAGGGTCAGCTGGGAGCCCATCTGGAGTGTAGGGTTGAACTGGCACCTTTCCCTTTGTCCCTTTCTGCTCAGACACTCCCTAGGCCTGGAAGCTCTCTTCTAATCACCACACCCCATGGAGCCTGGCCACTACAGTGCTAGGAACAAAGACCAGAACAAATGATGGGAGTGACTCAGTGACTGGCTGACCCTGAGGTCTGTGGCCTGTTGCCTCAGACAAGGCTCAGAGACTCTGGTTACCCATATACTGCAGGCAAAGGCCTGGCTGAGCAGGTAGAATGGACTAGGACCACCTCAGGATTACTTCAGGGTCAAACCCAGCTCTGCTAGGGATGACAGTTCCTCAGGGTCAAAGGTCATCATGCTGCATAGTCTTCCCACAACTCTGGGGCTAGTAGAGCCTTCTGAAGAGGCACTGGCTGCTTGTACCTAGTATCTTCTTCATACTGCCCCCCAGCTCTGCTTTTTGTCCCCCTGGTCTCCATGGCCTTCCACCTCCAGGCCTGCAGCCTGACAAGACGCAACATGGCTTGGTCAATTAGAGCAATGGTTAGGAGTACCCCTTAGGAAGGCCTTATCATGTACTGCTGGAAGTCCCAGGGTGTGTGTGTGTGTGTGTGTGTGTGTGTGTGTGTGTGTGTGTGTGTGTAAGGTTCAGATCTATCACTGTGACACCTGAACATGTGTTCACACATGACCCTCTCACCTCCAGGAGGCCCCCAGTACAACCTGCTATGAAGATGTTTGTGTAGCTGGGTGGCTGGGCCCGTCGCTCCTGGTGGGAGGTGGCTGTGAGTGCCAGCAGGGTGTTGCTGTACACGCCAAACAGGACGGAGTTGACCAGGGCCACACTGGCAATGGGGAAGCTCATTCCCTTGAAGAAGCCCAGGACCTGCAGAACAACATGGTGGGACCGTGAGAGGCATGGGGGCCTCCCCATCCCACTTCCAGCTCTGGCCAGGCTTCTGCTATCTGTACATCACTGCTGCCCAAGCCCTGTCCAGGCAGACAAAGCAGGTGGAGGAAGCTGTGAGGACCTCACTCCACTTTTGGGGTGCCAAGTGACTGCCAGACAGGAAACAGGCACCACATACTTCAGATGCCTTCTACCCCAAAGAAGTGGGCTACCTACCGACTCATGGCGGTAAGTCTTAAGTATGCAGTCCACAATGCCCTGGTACGTGTTCTGGGTCTGTAACCGCACCTGGATGGAAAGTACTGGGCATGTAAGGCAAATGAGCAAGCCAGGGCTGCTCCCACAATGGCGGCCAGGCCACCCACGCAGCAGACGCTGGCAGGCACACGAGTGAGCCAGCCCCATTAGCTGGTCTCATACCCAGGTTCCAGCCAGACCATCTGCTCCTCTGGTAGCTCGGCTCTACTCACCTTTATAGTGTCAAAGGGGTGCCCCAGGACCAAACCCACGGCTCCTGTGGTGACAAGAAGGTGCTATGAATAAGGACGGTGCCAGATCTAAGAAGCAAGTCTCTGGTAGAGCAAAGAGGGATTCAGGTAGGAGCAGGAAGGCTGGGTATACTCAGACACCCACAACCCACATTCTTGGGGCTCCACAGGGATTCCAGCTGCCCTACCCCACCACACCTGGTACTGGGCCACAAAGGTGCTAGGAAAATGGAGGCAGATGCATGGCCTCACCTGAGGACACACCCACACAACAGGGAAGAGCCACCTGTGATATAATACTGTCCCCAACCCTGACTATGGAAGATGAGGCTCTAAAACAGTGGTTCTCGACCTCTGGGTCGTGACCCCCCTTGGGGTAGCATATCAGATATTTACATTACAATTCATAACAGTAACAAAATTACTGTTATGAAGTAGCAACGAAAGTAATTTAAGGTTGGGGGGTCACCACAGCACGAGGCCTGTATCAAAGGGTGGAAAGCACCGGGGAGGTTGAGAAGCGCGGCTCTAGAAGGAGTGGGTGGCTACGACCCTACCGTATCAACTGCACTGCTGCCTTCCTTTCAGAGTTCTCGGCCTTGACTGAGAACAGGCCCTGCTGGCCCCTTCTTCCTGCCTTCTGCCTATCACAATTATCAGTGCAGAGCTGGGAGCCCTTCTTCAAGTCCTGCCGGGCCCCAGGGGAGAAAGCCACCCACTATCTAGTCTTATTCTCCACAGAAAATGCTGCTTCTGGAGCCTGGGGGGCAGGGTGCATCACCAGGGGTACATTCATGGTGTCCTTTCTCAAGGCCCAGGAGTGCCACCCATCGCCATGTAAGGCAGATTTCCAAAGGGGAAGTCAGGACAGCCGGTGAGATCAAAGGTGAATGTGGTTCGGGCACTCGCTCTGGTCTGGGAGAAGGGGCTTCGGTGAGGTTCCTTGACAGGCCCTTAGTGTTCTCTGGCAGCAAGGCCTTGGGATGCAGAAGTAGTCTCTCCTTCCTTCTTTCCCCTCGGCCTTCTTGGCCATTCCCAGAAGGCTCTGGGAACAGCTAGCTGCTGGGTGCTCCAGAGGGAACAACTCCTCTTGACAACCCAGCCTCCCCGGGAAGCAATCCACGCTTTGGGGTGATAGACAGAAAGAAGAAAAATGTCTCACCAGAGATCCAGCCAGCCACAAACTCCTCCACAGGCATTGTAGGGGCTCCGGTGGGAACTGGTGCTCCAGGCAGGGCCGCAGAGAAGACTGTTGCAAGTGAAATCCCCACCCCCTTTCCAAACCAGATAACCTCCCACTAATGTTTAACCCTGGCTGGAGGTTGAGAAGTGGCCCAGTGCCCAGACCTCAAGCAACCATTAGCAAGAGTGAGCCAACTTCAGTGACCCTGAGTCTGGAAGAGGCCCGTGAAGTATGGAATCTCTAGGGGCAAGTTGACAGACACAGCTAGCCTGAGTCCTATCCCTGGACAGTGACAACCATCTGTGTGACAGAGGATGACAACTGAGTGCTAGCTTGGTGAGCCTCTCCAAGGCTGCCTCATTGAGCAAGAAGCAAGATCCTACCTGACCAGCCAGTCCAGAGCAAATTCCCATTCATTCACTAGGAGCTCAAGCTTCCCTTACCCTGACAACCGTGAGGCTAGGTGAAGTTAGAATGTGGCCACCAGGCGGCAGGCCCGGGCCACAGTGCCCTGCAGCAGCCACCAGAGCCTAGGGCAGGGTGGAACAACCCGAAAGTGAGGCCCCTACCCCCAGAAGTGACTCACCAGGCCCTGAAGCCTGTTTGTCCGCTTTCTCCAGAGTTGTTTACAGCCACGAGTCAGAACCGCAGCCTCTTCTTCCCCAGGGGAAGGAACAATGGGCTGTTGACTGCACAAAGGCCTGAGCTACTCCTGCATCAAAACCAAAATTCTGCTCTCTGGGCCTCTGCCTCTGCCTCCAGAGGATGGGGCACGGAGGCCCTCACCAGATGCCAGAGCCTAGATTTTTTACTTCCTTGTCTCTAAACGGCAACAAACAAATTTCCTTTCTTTAAAAATTAAAAAGCAAGGCTAAATCTCTTCTCTGCCGTGTGAGGGCTCACAGTACCGCCCTTCTCTGACCTCATGTCCTGCTTCCTGCTCCGCTGAAAGCAGGCTCTCAGCCTGGAGGCCCTAAAGCCGGCTTGGCCTCCCCTTCCTGAGCATACTCTCTGTGAACTCCTTCAAGCTGGGGCTGAAACATCACCTTCTCAGTGAGCCCCCCAAATCATCTCATGGACAGTTGAAATCCCCCCCCCGAAGTCTGCACCCCTCCCTCCCAGGTCTCCCTCTCCTTTCTCTTGTCACTTGTCACCGACCTGTTATATGCAACTAATTGGTTGTCTGCAGTCAGGGACCTGTGGCTGCTTTATCCACTTACACAAGGCAAACATAATGAATGCTGATGAATGATGAATGGATGAATGGGGGCCAGAGAATGCGAAAGTCCATCAACAGAGGTGGACAAAGGCTGTGGTACCTGCACACAATGGAGTTTTAAGGTGTAAAGAACAACAAAGTGACATCATCGTCATGCTAAACAAAATCAGCTGACATCAGAATGGCCATTATCACGTTTTCTTTCATGTGTAGAATCTAAAATTAAAAATAAACCAAGCAAACTGGGTGGTGGTGGTGGTGGTGGCTTTAATTCCAGCACTGGGAGGCAGAGGCAGGCAGATCTCTGAGTTTGGAGCCAGCCTGGTCTACAGAGTGAGTTCCAGGACAGCCAGGGCTACACAGAGAAACCCTGTCTCAAGGGAAAAAAAAAAAAAGCAGTAAATGTTTTTAATTGTTCCATTTCTCCAGCCCCAATATTCATTTATTTATTTTTATGTGTGTATGTTTGTGTGCCTGAATGTACGTATGTACGTTTGTGTGCATGAGCCCTCAGAGGTCAGAAGAGGGTGTCAGATCTTTTAGAAATGCAGTTGTAGGAGGTTGTAAGCTACCACACCTGTGCTGGGAACAGAACCCGGGTCCCTCAGTGCTATTAACCAGTGTCAGCCCTCCAGACCCATTTTTTATTTATTTTTTTATTTATTTTTTTTTTTTTTGGTTTTTCGAGACAGGGTTTCTCTGTGTAGCTTTGCGCCTGTCCTGGAACTCACTTGGTAGCCCAGGCTGGCCTCGAACTCACAGAGATCCGCCTGGCTCTGCCTCCCGAGTGCTGGGATTAAAGGCGTGCGCCACCACCGCCCGGCCAGACCCATTTTTTAAAAAAAGAATTAATTCCCAGCACTCGGGAGGCAGAGCCAGGCGGATCTCTGTGAGTTCGAGGCCAGCCTGGGCTACCACGTGAGTCCCAGGAAAGGCGCAAAGCTACACAGAGAAACCCTGTCTCGAAAAACCAAAAAAAAAAAAAAAAAAGAATTAATTGCCAGCCTGGTCTACAGAGCAAGATCCAGGACAGTCACCAAAAACGACAAGGAGAAACCCTGTCTCAAAAGAACAAAACAAGAAAAAAGGAATTAATTGTGTGTTTCAAAGAGCGGGAGTGTGCACGCCTGTACCACAGCACTCATAGAAACCAAAGGACAACTTTGGGGAGTAGTTCCCACCTTCCACTTTGTTAAAGCAGGTCTCTCTTGTTTCTGATGCTGCACAGCCTGGTCTGCCCGCTTCCAGGTGATCCTCTTGTCTCCGCCGTCCATTTGGCCGTAGAAGTGATTTGACTAGATGCCTGACATCCTATCAACGTGGGTCTCTGGAGTGCAGTGAGCACTTTCACTCACCGTCCCATCTCCCCAGCTCCAGAATCTAGAATAAATGTGTATACACATCACACATGTGCACACATGCACACACACCACACATGCACATACACACACACACAGAGGACATAAAAATAGGAAGAAGGGACACTATGTGGGGAAGGGAAAGTCCAAAACGTGGGGGAACAAGAGGCGGTAATGGAGCAGGGAAGAAAGGCGAAGAGGTCCACATTTTCTCTCAGGTGTAGCTCAGGATTAGAGTGCTTGCTTCATTCACACCAGGAGGCCTTGGGTTAAACCCACATCAACACACACACACACACACACACACACACACACACACACACACACACCTTTTTAAAGTATCCAGCACATACATGGTGGCTACTAATCCTCTAGGTTCCATTCACAGAGCCCATAAGACATGTTCATGAGACACATGGGGGAGGGCTTGGCCTATGTCCAGCACTCAGTAGGTAAGCAGGAGCTGAAGACCTTCCCTCTCTGCCTGTAGAGTTTTGTATCTCCTATAGCAGTACTGTGGCCTTCTGTAATATTTATTGTTGTTGCTTTGGTTTTTTGTTTTTTTTGTTTTTGAGACAGTCTCATATGGCCCAGGCTGACTCTGTCCTATGTGGCCAAGTATGGCCTCAACTCCTGCCGATCCTCCTGACTCCATCATCCAAGTGCTGGGGTTAGCATTTGCCGTCATGGTTGGCCCACCTACTGTGGTTTTGTTTGGTTGTTTTTTCACTGTGTTGCTCTGTCCTGGAAATCCGAGATCTGCCTTCCTCTGTTTCCCTCTGCTGGAATTACAGGCTTGTGTGCCATTCAGTTTGGACCGAAATGAATTAAATTGAAAAACTCAGCAAGGCATAGTGGCACACACCTTTAATCCCAGCACTCTGGAGGCAAAGAAAGGCGGATGTCTGTGAGTTCAAGGCCAGCCTGGTCTACAAGGTGAGTTCCAGGACAGCCAGGACAGAAACACCCTGTCTCAAAAACAAAACAAAAAGAAAAGAAAAGCTCAACAAAACAAAAACAGCACTGAAGACCAGCCAGGAGCTTCCACTACTGCCCAGCCCAGCGTTGGTCCCAAGGAAGCATCTCCATTTCAGAGAGGGGTCCAGTCAAGTCGCGAGGAGAGGTAGCGGCACAGCTCGCGCGCTCATGCTTGGTTTTCATGAATCTTGGCCACATCCTATTACAGATCAAGGGTCTCGTCCACGGAGCAACACCGGGCATTCAAGTATGCGGCGGTGACAGACACAACAAGGGGCGTGGCTAGGCCGGGCTCGCGCCAGGGGCTTTCGGATGCGCGCGACCCACCGAGCTGGGGGGCGGGCGGGCGGGCGGGCGGGGCCGAAGGACGGAACGAGTGAGCGCGCGTGCGCCGAGGCTCCGGACTCCGATTGGCTCCCACGGTCGAAGGGGCGAGGTCTGGGATCCGAACTTCCTCCCACGGTAGCTTCGGCGGCGCCTAGCCTGCGTACCCACCCTCAGCGGGGGTCTGAGACCCCGCAGGCGGGCGTGGCGGTGGGTCCAGAGCGGGAGGCCTGAATCCGGTGGCATTCTGGCGTGAGGCAGCGAGCTCTGCGACCCTGCGAGGTGAGAGCGCGGCCACTCCCTGCCCGGGTCCCCGCCCTGGACGGGGGCGCGCCTTGACTTGCCTGGGCGACCTGCGACCCCATGCACCTGACGGTCACCGCCCTGACCCAGCACCACCCTTACCTGCATTCGGTCGAGGGTCACTCCCCACTTTCCGCCTGCACAGTTGACCCCTGTACATAGATTAAGACTTGTAGACCGAGCCCGGGACCCCTTTGCTTCTTGGCTGAAAGTTTGAGGAGACCATCAGCCCAGGATCCCCATTAAATGCTCTCTGTCGTTCCTGTTGCAGATGGATGGCGCAGAAGGCAACACGGGGCAGCCCGGCCCTGCGGAGCGGTCCCACCGAAGCAGCGTTTCCTCCGTGGGAGCCCGAGGTAGGTCTCTACGCTTTTTTTCATCTCTTCTGTATCCTTTTTGGTCCCAACCCTGGGGACGTGGCTCCGGTTTGCCTTCGTTTTCAGTGAGTTAGTGTTATAAGAAGTAAGATGTGTTGACGTATGGCAAACCCATAGAAGTCAAAGGACCTAAGCTGGGCTGTGTCAGTCGTAGTGACCAAGCCATGCACTTCTTGAATCTTCATGTCTTCACATGAGGACACGTAAATGGAAAGTGACACCACTTCTTTGGTTCCATTTCTTTCTTACAAACAAACAGCCTTTTGAGAGCAGGGATTCTCTTCTTCGTTTTATTGGAAGGCAATTCGGCCCCAGAGAGGTTGTTAGGTCCCAAACTACCGGAGCGGGCCAAAGTGATCATGAACTTGAGCCTTCAGGGCCCTGTTTTCCTGCCTATAAAATGGATCTGAACCTCAGTCTCCTGGAGGAGACTGTTTGATCTCTCAAAGTAGCTGTGGGAGCAGAAGAGACCAGAATCTAAAAAGTCCCTTCAGCGTGTTAGCTCTATGCCATGCCCAGCACATTTACAGACTTTGTAGGATTGGTGGCAACCCTTTGAGGAACGGTTATTAACTGTTTTTACAGAGTTACAGCTGACTCAGAGTCCCGCTGGAGTCAGCCAATAAGCAGAGAGCAGCAAGGGTTGCAAGTTGAGGAATGAAGCCCCCAAGCTCAGTGTTCCTTTACTGGGCCTATGGTTCAGGAATGGGGACTTGAACCTGGCCACCCTGCCAAGCATCTGCTGCTGGCTGTGGATTCCAAATGGGAATCCAGCTTGTTACAAGGGAACACTTGGATATATGAATTGTTTGTTTTTTCCTAGTCTACTTAAAGCTATTCGCAAAAGCCACAATACTGATCCTTAGAGTTTTGAAGAGTCCCAATGAAGCTGAGACTTGGAGCCTGCTGTAACCTGGAGTGGCCTTAGAAAACACCATTGCCCTCTTAGTCTGACCCAGTCAGAAGGTCACTAATTGGCCTTGCTCCCAGCCTGATATGGAAGTGTGACCTCAGGATAAGTGACCCCTGTCCTACTTCCCCACCTGAGGAATATTATTGGAAATTCATCAGTATTTGATACTGCAGAGGAAGAAGGGAGGCGGTTTTCATGAACTTAGGGGGTGAAATGGGCCTGGTACCTGGGTCATGGTTTCTGGGTAATTTGAGGTCTCAAAAAGGCAGAACTTTTATTTATTTATTTTTAAAATACTGGTCTTGCTGTGTAGCCCAGGCTGGCCTAAAACTTGAAATCCTCCACCTTTAGCCTCCTGAGTCCTGGGACCACAGGTGTGTGCCCCCATACCTGGCCATAAGCATCACTGTTAACGGGGTCTTGAGGGGGTATGTCAGTGTAGCCTGGGTTATGATAGGGAGCAAAGGGTGGTGGAGAAGGCCCTATTGGCCTTATTGGCCTGGTGGTGGGCCTCAGATGACGAGTCCAACTTATCTTCCAGCAGCAGACGTGCTGGTGTACCTGGCTGATGATACAGTAGTGCCCCTGGCTGTGGAGAACCTGTCCTCCGTCAGTGCCCATGAGCTGCACCGTGCAGTCCAGGAAGTCCTGCAGCTCCCAGATGTGGCCCTGGAGGCCTTTGCACTCTGGCTTGTCTCCCCTCTTCTGGGTAAGGTCTGGCAATGAGAGGGGAGGGTGAGAAGGACACTAACTGGAGCAGAGAGAGGGCTTAGCTATGAGAACCTGTGGCCACTACCGGTCGGAAAGATGGGACCTGGTGTGTCCCGGAGCCCCCAGGAGGTTTCCGGATCCCTTGTCGCTGCCTTTTTCTTGTGCTGATGCAGTACTGCTGGATCCCTGACCTCCAGAAGAGCAGAAGGCCCCCTGCATGCAGAGGGTGCAATCTGAGCCATTCCCTGGGAGTGTAACTTCAGTGTTTCCCCTGTGTGTGAAGGAGGGCTCAGGTCTGCCCTGCAGTGTGAAGTCCTGAGATCTGGAGCAGTGGGTTAGTGGGTGTCAGGACCAGAAAGCCCCCAGCGGCCAGCCTCTGCATCGCTGGCAGGAGGGAGGAGTGTAGACGTGGCTCAGGAAATGGGGACACCTTTGCTTAGGTGTGGGGCTGCAGGGAGAAGAGGAACATGGCTTTCTGCATGGCGCCTCCGCCCTACCTGGTTTCTGGCCCTGTGACCACGCACTTCCTGCCCTGTAGGCTGGGGCCCCAAAGTGGGATGGGAATGGAAGACGGGGTTTTATAGACTGAGGCCAGTGAATAAAGTCCCTCATTATGGCCCCTGAGCCTGTTGACATGGAAGGAAAGAGACTGAAGGAGGGTCATTGTCATCACTTTGGGAAATAAATCAGGGCTGGCGCCAGGCGTGTTCTCTGAGCTTAGATTTTCCTTTGAGGGCTGGCAAGATGGCTCAGTGAGTGACGGCACTTGCCGCTAAGCCTGTCACCCTAGTGTGACCCTCGGAACCTGTGTAGTGGAAGGAGAGAACAAGTTCCTGCAAGTCCTACTCTGACTTCCCATTCATGACCGCACGTGCACACACAATAAATTAATAATAATAATAATAATAATTTTTAAGTTGAGCATATACCAAAGTATGGGCTTTTTGGGTTTTTGTTGTTGTTGTTTCGAGACAGGGTTTCTCTGTGTAGCTTTGCGCCTTTCCTGGAACTCACTGGGTAGCCCAGGCTGGCCTCGAACTCACAGAGATCCGCCTGGCTCTGCCTCCCGAGTGCTGGGATTAAAGGCGTGCGCCACCACTGCCAGCCCAAAGTATGTTTTTTAAAAAATCCCTTTGTGGGTTAGGAACACAGCTCAGTAGTAGAGTACTTCCCTAGCCTGTGCACGGCCCTGGATTAGTCCCTAGTGTTGACAAAACCAAAAGAGAGTAACTGTGCCCTTGTTGTGGAGGAAGGGCCACTTGGTCTCAAGAATTTGAGCAGGACAGCTGGGTCAGGCCCTAGGGATCAGAACTGGTACCTCCCTCTCCCGAGGCCCCTGGGTTTCTGCCTCTATTCTGTGGGAGGAACTCCAGCCCCCACCCTTTCTCCTCCCTGCCCCCTGTCTTCCTGCAGTTGCTGTTCCCAGGCTCACACCCACCTCTTCCGCTGTCCCAGCCCCTCCTTTGCCCCCTGAGCTGCTTGCTGGTCAGGGCTGTGGGCCCCTTGGCTATGTGGAAAGCTGGGGATAGCAAGTCCTAGTGGGTGGCCCCTCGTCGGTCACGAGAGGCTCCCAGTGCTGCTGCTGGGCAGCCTGCTCCTCCTCCACGTCATTCATGCCCGCTCCCTCACATTCCCTAGCCTGCCTGCCAGTGGCAAGAACTGAATGCTTTGCCTGTCCAGGATGAGAGTGCCTGAGGCTGCAGTACAGTCAACACCCACGTTCTTCCCAGGCTGGGGTGGGAGGCTGAACAGTTCCTTCAGACCCCCTCCACACACACACACACACACACACACACACACACACACACACACACACACTCAGCAGGGCAGTGACCTGCCTCCCCAGCTGTGAGTGCCTGTGAGGCAGAGGCTGTCATGCTCCTCATTATTGCCTGTGTGGAACTAGCTCCAGGAACTGATAGTCTTACTTGGATGATGGCCGCCAGGGAGGAAGGTCCCACCCAGAAGTCTGAGGCTGTGGTGTTGGGATAGCCCTATTCTGATGGCGGGAGCTCTGGGACTTGGAAGTGAAGGCGGGAGGAACACACCCCGTGCCCAGGTCTGCCGTCCCACTCTGGATTTTCTCAGTGCTGAGACAGACAGGGAGTCTGACGCATGGCATCCTCCGTCGGAGAACTCAAAGAGCATGACTCCTGAGTCAGATGTGCACCGAAGGGAGGCTTGGGACGCTAAGCTCTGGTCCTGTGTGGCCGTTAACTGTGTGTAGCCCTGGGAAGTGGCCATCCCTTGTGGGCTTCAGGTGAAGTGAGTCATCTTGGCATCCCATAGCCCCATCTTGTGAGCCTGTGGATAGTGGGAGGACAGGGGAGGTGGAAGAAATGAAGGCTGTGAACCCTCTCTGAGAAAACTGGGTCAGAAACAGGACAAGAAAGGTCTGGAGCTGGATACAGAGGTTGGATGGAGGAGGCTAGAGGCAAGAAGGCCACTTGGAGGCTGGGCCTGCTATCTGGTCAAGATCAGGGTCCAGAAGGAAGGTCCGAGTGATCCAAAGAACCATTGGCATCTGGCTGGCAGGACAAAGTGCTCAGGCATTAGTGGGGAAGGGGACAGCCAGAGGGAGAACATTCGCGTCTGGCAAGGATGTGCCGGCATCCTCACCGTATATCTCAGCACATCCCTGGG